GTTTCATGTTTCATATAGCTCTGTTCTTAATTCCAGATTGAACACTACAGGACCACCATACTGCTGGAACGAACTCATCACTCTCAGTTCTAAATACCGGGACTTGACTGCCCACTCGCAACTTGCGATCACAGTAAACAAATCTCAGTCCCCATTGCTTCTTGGTTTCGTCATCCTTTTTTTCTGTTTATCGAAGAGTTTCTGGTAATGTCAGGTATGGGATGTTTCATGTGGAAAAGCCGAGGGACTTATTGGTGGTGCCACAATCCTTCTCTTTAACAGCAAAATGCAAATGAAATCAGGAAAGCAGAAGCTTAGGCTGTGGCAGGGGAAGGAAGCGGATGGTTCATTTCCTACTTCTACTCCTGGAAAGGTTTCCTGATGAATCTCACTCAGTACTTGATTTATGTTTCGAAATATTGTTCTTGATGCTGACTTCCTTACTTCTTGGGGGTTTCTGTGAATTTGTTATAATCTAGGTTCCACGGCATGAGCGAGGGGAGCTTGAGCGTTTGGAGAAGCTCATGAATAAGTTTGAAAGGGGGCAGATCCAAAGCATCGAATGGCTGGACCGACTTATGTTGAAATCCTTGGATACGATCAAGGAACAAGAAAGCTCCAAACATGGAAACTCACATCTCTACTTGGTTATCGACTTCTGTAGTTTTGAACATCGAGTTGTTTTTCAGGTACAATCTTCACTTTCAGGCTGAACATAAAAATTTCTTCGTGTGTGTCTTGTTTATATTGTAATGATTAATGCGGTTATGTCTATGTGCTGTTGATTTCTAGGAGTCTGGAGCCAATTTGTTGATTACTTCCCCAATAGGTTCAACAAATGAGTTTGTTACTGTCTGGGATACAGAACTGGGAAAGTTTAATCCTTCAGAGCACAAACAACTAAAGCTGGCAAGGAGCTTGGATCGTGGCATTATTGACAGGGATCTCAAGCCAAGTTCTGTCGAGCGCAAGTAAGATTGGAATGAGATCTTTTTCTCACTTGGTTGAATTTAAAGTTGCGTGGCACTCTTTAGAGAAACAGCTTTTTCATTTTTCAATCATATTATTGGGAAATATATTCGCATATAATCTCACGAGTAGGTGTTTCTTTGCTCTTCTTTTGAAGATCTATACAATGCGTTCTGAAATATCCGCCGACAAGGACTTTAAGTGGAGATGAAAGACAGCTTCTTTGGAAGTTCCGTTTCTCTCTGATGTCTGAGAAGAGAGCTCTGACAAAGTTTCTTCGCTGTGTGGAGTGGAGTGATGTTCAGGTAAGCGTACATCTTTTGCTTTGTACAATTTTCATGGTTCTTATTTTTTAACGTTGCATGATCGATCTTCCAATGTTGGCAGGAAGCAAAGCAGGCAATTCAACTGATGTACAAGTGGGAAACTATTGATGTGTGTGATGCCTTGGAGCTATTGTCTCCTCTATTTGAAAGTGAAGAGGTACTTCGAGTGCCCAATTTTACTTTCTTCTGGTCGTTTATTTTATTATGTTTGTTAATTTCTCACTACACCTACTGATAGGTTCGAGCTTATGCTGTGAGTGTCCTTGAAAGAGCTGATGATGAAGAGCTCCAGTGTTACTTGCTTCAGCTGGTTCAGGCTCTACGTTTTGAACGCTCGGATAGGTCTCGGCTTTCACAATTCCTTGTCCAACGGGGTATGTTCTGAACTTTTAGCCATGAAATTATGTTGATTTTTTTCTATATGTAGCTGATTTATATGTGTTCCATGTACATTGACTGTTTTCTTTTATTCTTCTTTCAAACTTCTAGCGCTACAGAATATTGAGTTGGCCAGTTTTCTTCGCTGGTATGTTGCTGTGGAACTGACTGACCATGTCTATAACAAGCGATTTTACAGCACATATGAGTTACTCAACGAGAGTATGAACAAGGTGTGGACCTAACCTTTATTTTACTCTGTTTCCTTCCCCTTTAAGATGAGTTGAATATATAGATCAATCATTGTCAGCCTCTGTTGTCTTTGTAAAAGTCAGATTTCAGACCCTTTAAGTTTGGGATGTGGGTTCTGATTAACAGTGCCAGGTTGCTTAAAGTTTTGTCTCGATAAACTATGTAGTGAAGATAATATGGTAATCCTTACTTTTAGTGAGAGGAGTAGTGGTTTCCCCAATAATGATAAGGAAACTTCTAAAACGACATATACAGGGTTGTGTAACTACAAAAATATCACCTCACGTTGTAATCTGTGTCCTTGGGCCAAAGGAATTGAGCTGCTTTATTCGTCAAGTGAGATTTGCTCTAGATTGATATTTGCTTTGATTTCAGCTGCCGGCTGGTGTTAACGGAGAAGATGGATCTAAACTGTGGCAAAGTTTGGTGAGCCAAACACAATTGACTGCTCAGTTATGTTCCATTACACGAGACGTTAGAAATGTACGTGGAAACACCCAGAAAAAGATTGAGAAGCTTAGGCAGCTTTTAACTGGACTCCTTAGCGAACTCACTTACTTTGAAGAGGTACCTTCACTACAGTGTTGTTAACTTGCAGCAAATGCCTTGAAATGGAATGTCTATACAAAGACTGTCCGAGTCCAAGTTTCTGCTGACCTTTTTGTATTGATTTTTTGGATTTGGTTTACTTTTCAGCCTATACGATCACCGCTTACCCCTAGTGTTCTCATAAAGGGGATTGTGGCCGCAGAATCAACTCTCTTTAAAAGTGCATTGCATCCTCTGCGGCTAACTTTCCGAACAGAAGACGAAGGAAGTTGCAAAGTTATATTTAAGAAAGGAGATGATCTCCGGCAAGACCAACTGGTATGTATATTTATATTGCATCATATTGTCGTGGATCTTTTGTTCATGTTGTGACTTTATTTATTTGTTTCCTCTATAAGGTTGTTCAAATGGTTTGGCTCATGGATAGACTGCTTAAGCTGGAAAATCTCGATCTGTGCCTTACGCCTTATAAGGTCCTAGCAACTGGACACGACGAAGGAATGTTGGAATTCATACCATCCCGTTCTTTGGCTCAGGTACAGTAATTTTAAGACTGATCTGATTTTTACTCTTGGAAAAGTTGGTTCAGTTATCCTAAGATGTGTGCTTTCGCATGGTCAGATTCTCTCAGAGCACCGAAGCATAACAAGCTATCTGCAGAAGTTTCATCCTGATGAGCATGCTCCTTTCGGGATAACAGCCACTTGTCTCGAGACATTTATAAAAAGCTGTGCTGGCTACTCTGTGATCACATATATACTTGGGATTGGAGACAGGTTTGTGTGTTCAAGAAGTCGTACTTGCTTTATAGATACGCTTTGGATTCAAATTGTGATGGTCTGTTTTTTTTATATGTAGACACCTGGACAACCTCCTGCTTACAGATGATGGTCGTCTCTTCCACGTTGATTTCGGATTTATTCTCGGTAGAGATCCTAAACCGTTCCCTCCACCGATGAAACTCTGCAAAGAAATGGTGGAAGCCATGGGAGGAGCAGAAAGGTAGCAGAAGATTTATACAACTCGATAAATCTTGTGGCTCGAGAGGTGTATATCATCAAGACTTACTCTGTGTTATGTTTTTGCAGCCAATACTACACAAGGTTCAAATCCTACTGTTGTGAAGCCTACAACATTCTCCGGAAATCAAGCAACCTTATTCTGAATCTGTTCTATCTCATGGCCGGTTCCACTATTCCCGATATAGCTTCAGACCCGGAAAAGGGCATTCTCAAAGTAAGCTTCTTTTCACCCTCAAATCTCACCGAACCAAACCAAAACTCACCATTCTTCTTGTACATTGATTGATTGGTTCTTGCTTGCTCCCTGTTGTTCTCATAAATGCTGGTTTTATTCTTTCTAATACAGCTCCAAGAAAAGTTTAGGCTTGATATGGACGACGAAGCATGCATCCATTTCTTTCAAGATTTGATCAATGAAAGTGTAAGCGCGCTGTTCCCGCAAATGGTTGAAACCATACACAGATGGGCTCAGTATTGGCGTTGAACCACGGCTTAAACTGCTTAAACTTATTTGTGTTAGCCGAAAAACTGTAGACGAATTTACTTTCTCACGTTAATGATAATAGTACTCGAAGGTTTGATTTATGTTCTTTGGCTTTTTTAGATCCTCTGTGAAAACTATATACACATGTAAATAAACTCGTTCACCTTGAAATTAATATTTTTGTTAATTTAATTTGTTTCAAAAGTCTGTTTCTAAGCTTAGAATATTCAATTAAAAAAAAAAGTGTAAGATTATGGACACTTTAAAACGGTGCGATTTATCTGCATTCATTCCTTCATCGTTGTGCTAAAGTCATGTTACGGCATGTTCGTTTGTGTTGTTGAAATGTGGTGGATCTTTAATTTTTTAAAGACAACGGAAATTTCAAAACCCTCCTTAAAACTTTTTGAATTTCGTCACTGCAATCCGAGATGAATCTAAAAAAATTAACTTTTTGAGAACGAAAACTGGAATTTGAAAAATTGATCCATAAGTTAAAATGAGAAACTAAGTAAATGAATAAATAAATAAAAAGATTTAGAATCTTAGGGAAAAAAACCAATAAATTTGAGATGGAAGAAAATTGATATACTGAAAGATAATATAGAAACTTCACTCCACAACTTATGCGGTTTCACTGTTAGCAATGATGACATTTCAAACTCTAGCAAGCCGTCGATTGAAGTTGTATGCTTGGAGTCTGGAGGAAAGTTGCTGAGTTTTCAAAAATCAATTTATATTCATCTAATGATACAAAATTATAATGGAATCATCATTTTGCATTAAAAAATTATCACAAATGATATTTCAAATTTTTATATGAGTGTAATGGTTTACAAAAAAAAAACTACTTTACATCTAACTATCAATATAATTAATTATTGTTTTGTTGTTTGCACAAAGAAGGTACAGAAACTCAGAAAGGGTAAAATACTATATATTAGAAATGGGGAAGAGATTGAAAAACATCTTGGCAAAACCCCCCCCCCAATTGGTGGGTTTTAGTCACAATAATATTTTATGGGTTACATTTCAAACAGTACAATAATAAGAGGGGTGTCTGTGTAATATCACATTTAAAAGAATATATTTCAGTTATATATTAGAACCTCGTCTGGTAAACGCGTTGATTTGAAGCTTTCTCTTTTGTTCAGATCCTTCGCATCAAATCGAAAGGTTAGCTCCAAACCTTCTTTTTGATCTTCTCGCTTCTTATGATTTTCTGGAGTCTGAATTTTTCACGGCGTGGAGATTTCGTTGATGGTTTGATTTGGAGTGTACGATTTGTTGTTCCGAATACATCGGATCTCGCTTGCTTCGATTAGTTTCCTCAGTTTGCTGATCCCTGTTCTTCAGATATTATACTCTTATCTGTTGTTGAATCCGTGATTTGGAGCTCTAGAATCCGAAGTTCATCCAAATATGTATATGGAATCTCAGATTCTTCATCGTTTTTGAATTCGTTGTTTGAAGAGGCTGAACGTTGTTTCCTGATCTTGTGTTAAGATTCATCGTCAACTATATGAAAAATCGTGATCGATCATTTTGTTTGATACCTTCTTTCTGTTTTGGTTTCGATTGCTTTCGAATTATATTCTGACGGCTGATTCTGTGATAATTTACATTTTTATTAATATTCGAGTGATTGGAATCTCAAGTTTCTCGTCACTGATTCTGTGGATCGAAGGATCACACATCCATATAATGCAATGAATAGCTTTCGGTGTTGAATTTTCGAATTGGCGCTCTAATTCTGGTTGACTTTGATCTGTTTAGAGATTCGTTTCGATAAAAATCGTGCAAGAAATGAGGAACAGAGTTTAAAAATCTTGAGTCAAATGTTTATGGTGAATGATTTTTTTCTTCTTTGCATATTTGCAGGATCACTAGCTGAAGGGAAAATGGGGCTTTCATTTGCAAAGCTTTTCAGCCGGCTTTTTGCCAAGAAGGAGATGCGTATCCTTATGGTTGGTCTCGACGCTGCTGGTAAGACGACCATTCTCTACAAGCTCAAGCTTGGCGAGATTGTGACAACCATCCCCACCATTGGTGAGTCTTCAAAACATAAACAATTGGTAGAACAATCATTTCATTTCTTCTGCAACTGAGATTCATCAGCTGCTGCATTGCCTATGATCATTGCAATTTTAGACATTTCCTTTAATCTGTTGCTTGAATCCGATACTCTCTACTAGTTACTAGACCATGTTGCTTATGGAGTTTCTGAATTTGGATATATTAATTGGCATAGAAATCGCATGAAATTCGAAGAAGAACGACAAATTCAATGTCCCTAGGTGATAGAAGATGCAAACGTTATTTTGAAGTGAGGCTTAATATGAGTGAATGTCTCTTTTTTGTAGGGTTTAATGTGGAGACAGTTGAATACAAAAACATCAGTTTCACAGTTTGGGATGTCGGGGGTCAAGACAAGGTTCCTATTTATCTGTTACTTTCTATGAATCTCTTCCTGACATGGAAAAAAAAGAAGAAAAGAGGAAACGTGTGCTCACTTGTCTTCTCTTACAGATCCGTCCTTTGTGGAGGCACTACTTCCAGAACACGCAAGGTCTGATCTTTGTTGTTGATAGCAATGACAGAGATCGAGTTGTTGAAGCGAGAGATGAACTTCACAGGATGTTAAACGAGGTATCTTAATAGTTACTACTACTCTCCACTTAGTTCCTTGCTTCGTTTAATCTTATGATAGTAGTCGATGAGCATCTTAGGCTCTCTCCTGTACGTGACTGACCTATTAATACGTGTATATGCAGGATGAGCTTCGTGATGCAGTACTGCTTGTGTTTGCTAACAAACAGGATCTTCCAAACGCAATGAATGCTGCTGAGATAACTGATAAGCTTGGACTCCACTCTCTCCGTCAGCGTCACTGGTGATTATCTTTGTTGCTTTGCATTGTTATTTACTCTGTTCTTTCAAAACAGAGAACCAACTGTAGGATTGTTCTGTTTCATTTCAAAACAGAGAACCAACACTGTAGGATTGTTCTGTTTCAGGTACATTCAGAGCACGTGCGCCACGACCGGTGAGGGACTGTATGAAGGTCTGGACTGGCTCTCCAACAATATTGCTAACAAAGTAAGCCCTGATTATGTTTTCTCAGATAGTTAAGTTTATGAATTTAGCTGTTTGTTTTCGTTTTGTGGTGATTTGATATTTGTTTACTACTATTATTTTGGCAGGCTTGAGTTTTGTGAGACGAAAGCTTCGGATTCGGAGGGAAGCTTTATCTTTGTTTCTTGTTAAAAAAAAATCTTCTACTCTTTAATTTTTGAGTTTTGGTGATTATGGAGTCATATCTGTTGCTAGTTAAAAGGATTTCTTTTGGGATTATGATATTAACATACACTTTGCTTTTTAACTATAGATTTAATAGACAGCTATGGTTTTGTTTTCAAATCATTCTCTCCACACCGTTTCACCTTTATCTTTTTCAGATGTACAAGTTGTACAGTACAACTGATTTGATTATTTTTTTAAAAACCTAACCAAGATGTTGTTTTTGGCCGATGATCTCAGAACTAGAATGGTCATTACAGGTGTTGATTACAAAATTATTCTTCTAAAATATCTCATTCGATGGTCAGATCAGATGACGGACCCATATTAACCGCTTGGGATCAATGTCTAATAAGAGGAAAATGAGAAATGAATATTTTATTTGCGTACTACTATAATCCCATAGGGACGACGAAAACAAAGTATAGTGGAAGAATCACGCATGCATGCATGATGCATCAGTATGACAAACATGTAAAGATTTTATTCATATATCTATTGCAATATATGTTTTAAAGGCTCTTATTATAGTATTAAATAAGAGCCAACGACAAAACCATTATTCTATTTTATTTTATTTTGCTAAATGGTTACGACAAAACTATTATTTTTTATTAATATCATCCATCACCTTCTATTTAATCTCATCCACTACAATTGCCAGATGTTCGGTGGGACAATAAACACAATCTTTTGACTTAGACGTTGTAATTAGTTCAGTCGGTTGGAAGGTGAAGCTGGTTTCACGTGTAATGTTTAGAGCTTAACACACACAAAAATTCGGTAGTTTTAAACTTACAAACACATAAGTAGAAAATAAATTTCAAGTAGTTAGTAGATCATCGACGATTAAATAGGTAACATTTTGTTTTTTTTTGGAAAAGAAAGGTAGTATATTGTTAGAAAAAGATCGACATTGATTACAGTAATTTAGTGAAGCGTCCATATATGAGTTTATCGTAGACATGCTCCTCGACCTCGTTTCGATTTGTGAACATACACTTTAGAAAATTAGGGGTCTACAGTTTTGATTCGATTTCTGAATTTCGGTAACATGTAAGTCTGCTCTGAGTTCGATTTAATTTTACCGGATAAAAAGTTACAAATTATTTTTATATGTGGATGTCTAAATTTATATATAGAAATTAAAATTTCGAATTTAGAGTTTAGTGTAACAGTTACATAAAATAAATAAAAATAGAATTTAAAAAACTAGCTAGGTATTTAAAATCAATATGTGATATCATTGCTATTTATCTACTCTGTATAGTTGTTCGGGATCAAATATAATGCATTATTACAATTTCTAGCTAACTCTTATATGAAACTATACTTGTAGCATAAGTACACAAATTACAATTAGATCGTAACAAGCATATTACTCCAACCAAATCGTAACCATGCAACAATACAATTAAAAACTGTTAACCACTAACCATAGCCATAGCCGGATCCATAATTTCCATCTAATTTTGGTTTGGTTTCTTCAGTTCCGTGAAAATAAAGACCTCTATAATACGATACGTCTTATATATCGGAAGCGACGTACATATTTTTATACTAGTAAAATAGTAAATAGCCATACCAAATAAACCCAAAACGCGTGGAATATGTGATGCGATGGTGTAGGGTCTAAATTATTATTATTCTTGTTTGATATTTTTAATTAAAGGATGTCGACTAGTAAAAAACAAAGTTTTTTAATTTATAAAAATGGCTTTCGTAAAAAACAAAGTTCCCATATTTTACCAGATTAAAATAGATTTGAAATTCCCGTATTTTATATATTAAGGTCATGACCGAAATGAAGTACTAATTTAAAATATATAAATGTGTTGATGTTGTAAGCGTAGGAGCCTCTCGAAGCTTTTTTACACACGAAAACAAATTATATTTTTCTTTAATGTCTTTCGTGTTGGAACTGTATAATATATTTCAGTGGTCTATGTAAAAAAAAACATTCTGCATAATTAATAGCCTTTCTTAGCGAGGCGAAAAGATAGAAAGAAAAGAATCTGACCATTAAGAGTTATCTCAAATACCTAAGTCTGGACGTAGAGCGGATATCCGGAAAATTTTAAGTATTTGTGATTTGCTCCGTTTTTACCGGATATCTGATTTTGTAATTTGCTTTGCTTCAAAAAAATACGGATATCCAGAAATGCGGATATCCGAAAAATTTATAAATATTTGCGAATATTTGCGGATATTTACAGATATTTATAAATATTAAATTTATTCCATTCAATACAAGTAAAAGGTGAAAATACATGTCTTTCTTTTTAAAATATGAACTACCAATTAAAAATAAGTGAAATAACTATTTTTATTTAAAAAAAATGAATATAAATAATAAATTATAATGATAGAAAAATAAAAACCATGTTTTATATTCTGAAAAGAATATTGATTAATTAAAACTCTAATATAAACTTTTCTAATTTAATTTCAAATTTTTGATAACTATTGTAGATGTTTATTACTTACTTTAAAATTATTATATGTATTTTTATCATATATATTCTTTTTTATTTGTTAATAAGACAATTAAACTATATAAAAATATTAAAAATTAATAATATTAATATGTATATATGTAATCTGCGGATCGGAGCGGATATCCAAACTTTCGAAAATTAGTATTTGCGATTCGATTTGTTTTAAACAGATACTATATTTTAATATTTGCTTTGCTTCGAAACGTTACAGATATCCGAATTTTTCGGATCGAAGCAAAGCAAATAACGAATCGAATTAAATATCCCACCCCTACAAATACCATTTGCTGAGATCAACAGATTCTTGTGCTTCTTGTGTTGACAGAATGTTTCAGGAAGAAATAGTTTCCGATAAAAAAACACGTATCAAATGTTTCTGTAAGGAAGACAAACATGATTTAAAAAGAATATTATGATTATTCTTATTTTTTTAGATCATTGTTGTGGTATTTAAATGTATGAAGAGATTATTAATTTCTAGCATGCATTCATTGTTTCGAAAAAATTATCAACTCTTTGTCGTTGAGGATTAGTGATTGGTAAATCATGAGCAAATATCTTGCTAAATTTTGTGTCCTTTCTTCAAAGTTGTTTGTTTTACTCAATCCCAAGTCCCAAATATTAAATTAGTAATTTATGAGACTAGGTCCACTAGGATATATCAAAGTTCAACCCCATCTAGTAAAGTCTACTTATATTCGGAATTTAACTTGAGTGTGTATATAAATATAATACATTGTACATGTAGATCTACTGATCTACATGAAAACAACATCATTACGGTTTTTCGATGATTTGAACTTTTGCTCATGAATGTTAAAGATTTGAACGTCTGCTTAGTAACTTGATCATACGCCAGATTAAATTATACAACATTCAATCAATTTCATTATTATACTTAAAAAGACGATATATAAAAGTAACAACTACTACAAATTAACAAATAAAAAGAGTCTTAGTAATGTATTATTTTTTTTTTTGGAAAAAAGCAAGTAAATTAAAATTTGAAACGTGATTGTAGCCAAAACATTTTGATCTTTGTTGATTTAGTGTCAATAAAATAATAACGCAAGCGTATATATAAAGTTATACTTTTGTTGTCGGCTATATAAAAGTTATACTAGTATATAAAAGATCTGACGTATTCTCTTATTTTATTGTGTAATTCAAAATATATATACTATATATAGGAGTATAATACCAAATCTAAAAAAACTACGTGACAGACGTCCACAAGTTTGCAATTATTAAAATAAAATTGTAGAACAGCTTAACATATCCCATACGTTCAAAACATAAAAGCAAACGTATTTTAGTATTAAAAAAAAAATATTGAAAAATTAAGATAAACATAAAAGAGAAGTATCTAAAATCTCTTAAATAAGAGCTCATTCTAAACTTCTAAGATATTCACTTACACAATTATCTTGTTCTGATTGGTACAATTTCTTTTAAATATTAAAATTTAATTATATATCTTAAATTATAATAAAATAATTGTTAAGATACTTGTATTAAGAATTCTACCATTGTAGATGTTCTATAGAGTGCTAAAGACTATCTTTTTAGTTTAAACTACAATTCCACCAGTTTAGATTTGTGAACCGTGGTAAATTAAGGTTATTCACAAAAAAAAATTAGAAAATACTTTCTCCAGTGAAGCTATCTACCTCAGTAACTAATTTTAATATTTTTATATATTTTTAATTTTTTATATAATTACTTTACAAACCACAAAATATAAATTATTTAATTTTTATATTTAAATAGACTTTTACATACATACTTTTTGAATATTCATATGACATAATTTAAAAATTAAAAAACAAATACTTATTTTACAAATCACAAAAATGTAAAGTATCTACAAATAAAAAAAATTAGAATGCTATTTCGAATAAGAAATAAAGAAAATGTGAGAGATTAATGGTTAACTTATTTTTTAATCTCTTCAAAAATAAGCGACATATAAAAAATAAATAAAATTATGGAAAAAAATATATAGATACATACAATAACATATTAATATAAGATCGAGTTTTTATACAATTAACATCACAATTTATATTTAAAATAATTTAACAATAGCTCTACATATTTTAAGGTTAATTAAAAAACTAAAACAACATTAAAATTTAAAACGAACAAACAAAAATAAATATATAAACATAAAAGTAATATAAAAATATAATTTTGATTAAAAAATAAAGAGATTTGGTGGGACTGATGGTAATTTTTTCTGTTGATCTTGATCAAAATAAGTGACCTAAAAGAAAAAAAACCTACTAAATAAAGATATTTAGTGAGTATGTAGGGACCCATTTTACTGGACCAAAAAAGAACCTGACACATGGACCTAGACTGCACTAGATGCTGACACACGCCACACTACCTCGGCCGACCTACTCCCGCGTACTGTTATGGTGTAGTTGGCGAATTTCCCCAAACACGCTAAAATCATTATCCTCACCTGCTCCCCTGACGAATGGAAGGGACAGGACAAAGAGCCTGCGAGTATAAGTAAGGAGAGATCACCACTAAGAGAAAGAGGAGGGATCTGAGGAGGGGATCGGAGGAGAAAACTCCCTCTAAAAGAGGAGGTATCTGCTTATGTCTGAGTCAGTCGATCCAGGCAAGCAGCACGA